TTTTCCTGAGAAAATCTTTGTGGGTTTTATACTAGAAACCTGGCCCACCCAGAATCAGCTGCAGAGGATACTTAAAAGGGTGCTGACACAACCAGACCTGCAAGAAAAATAATGGAAGAGACGGCTGATAAATCAAGACCGGGCTTTTTCTCTCATCTTACATCTAAAATTGAAGTGAAGTGCCATGGTTCAGGTCTGAAGTGATAAAACAGAGCCTAAGGGAGGCAATAAATAAGGACTTTCAGCAAACAAAAAGGCTTGACACCAAAGTCATGGCAAGAAATATTGGCCGAACATCAGAACTGTTGGAAGAAGTGCAAATGTGATGCCCTGAATAGGCTATAACTGGTCATATTGAAAAATGAAAAATATGGCCTCTACATACCTCACATTGCTCTATAACCCGTTTATAATCTAAGGGACAATTTGATATTGAAGTTATAAATTCAAGCAGATATAGCTACACATTTAAAATGGAGGAAGACTCTCTAGAATAACAGTCCTTTCTCCAAATTACACATACATTACTGTGTAGTTAAATATACTGTATATATAAAAAGACAAGTGTTGCTGAACTGAAATAATGAACTGAAATATAAAAGGGAGAAAGAAACGAGGAAGTGAAAGCACAAAAGGAGAATTGTTAAGAATTTCGTATTTTCGTACAATACCAGTAATTGACACTGAGGCTTTCTGAGCAAAAAGCAAGCAAAAGAACCATAAAACAATATTAAAGTGTCTTCTGTAGCCATACGATAACTTTGTGTGAGGAAGAAACCAAAATTTGCTCTCCTTGATGCATCTTTTCAATGAATCGGTCGATTCAGTTCACCTGTCAGAGTGATCTGTTCATGAATCAGCTGACTCAATGAAGCAGACTAACAGCTTACTGGAGGAGAAGATATCAGTCAATGACTTGATCATCACACAAAGTTATTGCATGCCTTTAGAAGACTACAGACCACAAACAGAACAAAAAAGCATTTCAATGGTGCTTCTGCATCTTTTTTGAAATCTAAAAGACTCAATTTTTTCCATTCTTTGCATGCAGTACATTGCAATTGCATGGGCTGCAAGCATAATTCTTCATACAAGTATAAGTCATACAAGTTTGGAACAAATCTTTATCATTAACTAAATACAACTCATACAACCATATCTTGAAGTCAGGTTTTAACATTTCGGTCTGATGACAAGTCTTTTGAAAATGCACTGGAAATTCCAAATTGAATGGAATGCAGCCTGTGATATCACTGGGCACATTACAGAGTTCTTTCCGTACCATTTCAAATTTGGCTTAAATAGCGCATCATTCCACCTGAGGGTCAGTTGAGTCAGATGACTGAGAATTTCAGTATGATTCAGTGAGGCCATCTGCATCTGAAAATAATGACCCTTCTCTCTCATCATTTTTAGTGGTGTTTGCTAAGGCAACCATTACTATTAGTACTGCTTATGCGCAGTGATTTGAACTTGAACCCTTAAGTATTAAACACAAGCAATTAACTCATCTTGCACAGTTTATGCTACAGACATTAATAATACCTCAAATCAAGCGGTTTGATGAGGAGATCTAATGACTATCACATGTGAACTCTTTTGACATGGGCCAGTAAAACAAACACCTATCAACAACACAGAACACCCTAGCAAACATCCATAACACTTAAGAAAATGTAAAAATGTAGTTTTTATTCAAAATGTTCTCACATTACTTGTACATCACAATAACTTTAGCCACAAAAACAGCAAGTAAATATCTGCAGCTGTCTTTAAATAAATTGCTAGGCACACAGCTCTTTATGGTGTGAACCAAACAGATGCATCCTCTGTCAGGGATGGGAAGAAAAAAAACAGCTGTTAGCAATTCATCCCCACAGGAAATAAGTGAATCATATGGACAGATGACCTTTGACCGATCTAACACACAAACATATATCCACTCAGGCATAACTTGATGATTGGTCCTTTCTGGATCTGACGTCTACATAGCTGCTGTCCACACTGACAGGCCCAGAAGGGATCTGCATCCACAAAATCCCACAAAGCAAGCTGTGTTTTATAATATTGGACCATGTTTAAATTTATTCCACAGATTTTCTCCCAAAATCAGCACAGAAGATGCACAAAAAGTGTCTGCAGATTCCATCTGGGCCTACTCATTGGGGAATCTAGATCTAAGCATAGAGCAGAAGTATTTTCACTCGGGTCAGTGTCAAATAAGAAATTAAAGCAAAAAAACAAATAAATAAAATAACAGATTTTACACTGTGTAGAATGTATAGTATATTTCAAAAACTAAAATAGATTTATATAACAACAATATGGTAATAGGCTAAACATAAATACAATTAAATAATTTAATAACTGCTACTGATTTTATACTGTTTACATTTTATACTGTATTAAATTTATAGGTTTTGTTTGTGACTTAGGGTTGTGTCGGTGAGGAAATTTTCCCACCGGTTAATCGGCGTGTGACAACACCGGTAATACCGGTATCACCGCGGGGGCGGGGCATTCCCTCTTTTCCTCGCTTTCCTTCGCTTTTAAATAGCTTGTAAACGCGGTGTGCCCATTTTACTTTCACTTTAAAATAGCGGCAATTCGGAGTAAAGCAATTGTTCGTTTTTAGTTCGTTTGAATTTTCCCTCTTTTTCTGTTCTTTTACTGAACTAAATGATTTTTATTACTATAAAAAATCAAAACGACGGTGGGGGTCGGTGACGCGGTGGGCAAGTGACGTAACCGGTGTTGCGGCTTAACACCGGTATCACCGTCAACACCGTCTATCGCGGCAAGCCTATTGTGACTTATAGATTTTTTTAATAATTAATTTTGTTATAATACAATATAATTATAATATAATATAATTATAAATATTATATTATAAATTGCATTATAATTAATTAAAATTATTTATTTATTGATATTTTTGGCATACAGATCAAATTTAATAATCTCTGTTATTTAGTAAACTCATTGTGACTAGTGGGAAACATGTAATGTGAATCCAAAGGATGAAATGGAACAAATTCAGAACAAGAAATGGATCCAAACTGATCGTTTTCTCCTAATCATTTGGAACATTTAGTGTCGGCTAAATTGCTGTAACGATTAAACACACTGAATCTCTATAGAGAGCACATCATCCACCTGGCGTTCATAATAAACGTTAGCAATTAGATATAAAGCACAATAACAGTCTCTCAGCTTTGCACAGAGCTCATATGCACAATCTCCCAGGCCAAACCTAAAACCCCACAGAGGAAAGAGATCCTACCAGTTTCCTGTTCTGCTGAAAAGCTACATTAAGATTAAAATCGCAGCGTCAGCGGTAACAGAGCATTTAGATTCACAAACTGGGGGAAAATGGGTTATGAAGGAGGATCCCTCAGGCCATGTGAAAACGCCCCGGTGTTAATTCCGAGACGGTGGAAGACCCAGCGTGAACGCCTGATCTCACACCACAGCATCTGGTCTCGATCTGCCTCCATTTACACCATCTGCCTCAACAGAAACAGACAGCTACAGAAGTGAGCACTCTGCCCCTCCATCCTCTCTCACATTCCCCCTCACTCCATCTCTAATCAACATGATGTTGGTACAGGTCAGCAGAAAAACCCCATCACGCTCACAAAGACAGGTGCAGCACAGATTCAAGCAACTTACAGTCTGGGAAATAGGTGTTTTAGCAACTCAGTCTGGTTCAAAATGAGATGCAGTTCTGCTGTGAAATGTGACAGTGATTTTCAACCTTCAATGACTGCAAAGAAACAATTTATTTAATAGGCTATGTGCCAGCTATTAAGAGCTTCTAAAACCCAGCAGATAAATAATACTGAGGTTTTAATCATATTGAACCAGAAAGCAAACATGCACTTTTCAGAAAGAGACTGTTATACAGGATAATAACATTACTTCTTGGGGTCGAAAAACATTGTGTACACCAATCAGACACTCATTTCATCATTCATATAAGAGGTCTCTAATCAAGGATGTCTGAAAAATGTTATGAAGTTGCAATCTTATAATCTTTTCCATAAAAGCATGAACCTCAGTGTTACATTTCTATGTCATTTAAAGGGAACTGAAGTCTCTCATAGAAAACTAAAGTGGAAATACAGAGAACAAAGCCAATCTGAACTGTTCACACCATGATTCCCTTTATGACAGTTAAAGCAAGAAGTTTGAAGCAGGGTATTAAAACAATTGCTACCTGAAATAAAATAAAGGTTAACTAAAATTAAATATTAAAATACTTAAGATCATTCAGTCTAAGTTGATGTACTAAAATTGAAACCGAAACTGAAATTAAAATAAATTAAACAAAAACTAATAAAAATGACAAAAACACAGAAAATTCTTACATTTGAAAACAAAAAACGAATCAAAAATAGGAATAAAAACAACAACAGCACCTCGTGATACTGAAATAACACTAGTCTCATTTTCTGATAAGACTCACTTTTACAGTCTTTATGGTGTGGCTTTCAGAGACAACAATTGTGATTATATAAAAATAATCAAATGAATTCCAATATTAATCACTTAATTTCCCTTTAAATTATTTTATATGTTCATCTGACCAAAACAAAACAGACAGCTTATTGAAGCTCTGTTCAATCACAAAGTATAGGCTACTGTTGTGCAATATATAGCAGCATTTGTGTTGGACTTCATTGGACTCAAACTGAAACACACTGTGGAACAAAAAATAATAATAATCAATTTAACAAATCCAAGTATACTGACAGAGTGTGTCTTAACATGTGAAGAAAATGTACATTGTATTCATGCTTTTTAAGCGGTCACTTAGACGCCAAACATAATGAAAACACTCTCACGGAGAACATGTTATCGACTTAGTATATTTTTGAACTACGACCTGGAGTCCCAAACAAAAAACTAAGAGTGACAGACAGTGCAGTACACAAAGTCCATCATGACTGTGTTTGAACCATGAACCTCTGTATGACAGCAAAAACAGGAGCTCTGACCTGCTGGTAGTTTTCATCTTGCGGTTTAAACGTGTGATCCAACGGCTGAAACCTTAGATTCACGTGAGGAAACTCATGAAGCCAGTAAGTCCACCAAGGAGCGATATAATCAACCCTTGCAGACGACATCCTTCAGCAGTCGACGAGACGAATAAATCACTTTCCCAGATAGAGACGGTCGGACAATTTGGGTGTTTCTTTCCTGGTTACTCTCCGTTGTCTTCTCAAACAAAAGCCATGGATTTAGACATTAGAGAGACTGAGTACTCAAACAAAAGTGCTGGAGGGGACATAAAAAGATCTCTGAATACTTCCCCCAAATCGCAGACCATGGGAATTGACGGGAAATGTTGAATTATTGCATTAAATCCCGGTCTCGTGCCGCAGCCATTCCTGCGCGTGTCGTGCGCTCTGAACTCGGGAGCGAGCTTGAATGAGCGCACGATAGGGACTCGGGAGCGAGCTTGAATAGGAGGATGAGGATGAGGCAGTTTCTTTTGAAACTTTTTTTTTTATGGTGGCCTAATTGTGTCGATAACGAGATTCAGCAAAGATTGAAAACAATATATATATTATTGCTTTTGGAGATTAGCTTTAAACTCTTTGTTTGAATAAAATATTCTTAAAACGAGGTAAATGCTGAATTTAGTAATTTATTTGAAAATATCTAACGCAATGCTGCCATCTATTGGGCAACTCAAGTAAATGCAGACACTGGTACAAAATAAATAAATACATAATAAACAAACATGTTCAAACACTATTGGTATCCGCAATAAAAAGCGGACACCAACTTTTACTACCACATTAACAAAAAAAACTTTTTTTTTTCTCCTCACATTTTGATTAAGAACGGAAAAATATATAGACAAAAGCTAGTGCACCATACATTTTCATAGGGAGGTTATTTTAGATGTGAATTATTTAAGAACACAGTATGTTGCTTAGTTAGGTTCTTAAGTAGATGTTGTTAAAATGTCAATCTTCTTATCATGGTTTTGCACAGAAAACTGTATATTTGATTAAATATCAGCATTACATTCTCTTATTAAACACCTTGTAGTTTCATGACCTTGAACAGAATGCCAGTCATTGCTAAATGTCAGTATTATTTTTCATTTAGTTTGAGATTACAATAAAACAATTTCTAAACATTGTTTGAAAAGGTTTAAAATCACAAAGTGGTTTTTTTATCATTAACCTGATAAAAAAAATAATAATAATTTACCTGATAAAATATTACACTTCCAAGAAAGGTAGACACTTAAGACTACATGAGAAAATGTGTCAGCTATATTACATCTATAGTTTGTAAATGTTTTTATACTGGATTTATACCAAATACCACAGTTGACAAACTAGGATATAAATACAATGGCCTTACCAAACAAGTAAATTAAACTACATGCAAGTCTGCAAGTAGTATTAAATTTACAAGGGTATAGCTTGTTTGATATAATACAAATCAAATGTTTTGACAATTCATTAAAGGTCTTAAATTAACAAACCTTTTGGCCTAAAAACCAAGTTTGAGGTCAATAAAAATTTCCCTAGAGTAACAAAGTACACAACTAGTGTTGTCAAAAGACCCGGTACTTCGGTACCAAGTCGGTACTAAAAAAAATGAAAACGTTACGGTACCAGGTTTTTTTAAGTACCGGTGGTACCGAGTACCCGGTCAACCCGGTTCTTGATGCGCTATCCGAAAGCTATCCTCTTCCAGTGTTGCCAAGTCCGCAGTTTTCCCGCGGAATTGGGCTGCTTGTTTGAGCGGGTTTTGTTGTGAAAACCTGGCAACCTCTTCTTAAAAGCAGTGGCGACCTCAAGAGGAGGAAACGCATCAAACTAACAAAACACCCCGATCAAGTTCAAGCAGGTAAGTTTTAATTACATTTTTAATATTTAGAGCTCCTCTTATGAATATTATTCCATATTTTAATTTGAATTTCAAACTGAAATAAACATCGCCGTTAGCGTATACGTAGTTAATCATTAGCATAAGCGTGGCTAACGCTAATATAATGAGCATTAGAATGAATTTTGTTCATTTTGTTCAAAATGATTTATTTAACTATTTAATGCTCCTATAACTTTTATTACTGTAAAAAACAGGAGGACATAATGGTATTTACTATTTTTACACACCAGAGGCTTTTAAATGAACTGTGTAACCAAAATATGCGTGTTAGAGAAAGTACAAATGTATGGTTAACAGTGTTAATGTCATATAGTGTTTATGTCATATCAGTCCGTCAGAAAAAGTTGTTTTTTTTTAGTTAGTTAGTTGTAATTCTTGGCTGAATATCTCTAGCAGGTTTAAAAGCCCTTTAAAATTACAACCATTCAAAAACTTGGGGTCAGTATGACTAATGTTTTTGGAACAAGTCTTATTCTCACCAAGGCTGCATTTATTTAATAAAAACGTAAATACCGTAATATTGTGAAATATTCAAAAATACGGTTTAAAAGAAGCATTTTCCATTTTAGTATTTAAAACTGTAACATTCCAGTGATGGCAAAAGTGAATTTTCAGCAGCCATTACTCTAACTCTTCAGTTCTCAAGAAACATTTATGTTCATAACAGAAAAGCCGTCGTAAATATGTGACCCTGGACCACAAAACCAGTCATAAGTAGCACAGGTATATTTGTAGCAATAACCAACAATACACTGCATGGATCAAAATTGAAGATTTTTCTTTTATGCCAAAAAACATAACACAATATATTTAGCAAATTTTCCACCGTGAACATACCAAAACTTAATTTTATTAGTAATATGCATTGCTAAGAACAATGGGCAACTTTAAATGCGGTATTTTTGCACCCTTAGATTCTAGATGCTCAAATAGTTGCATCTCGGCCAAATATTTTCATGTCCTAACAATCCATACATCAATGGAAAGCTTATTCAGCTTTCAGATGAAGTATCTCAATTTTTAAAAAAAAGAAATTGACCCTTATGACTGGTTTTGTGGTCCACGATCATATCACATTTGAAATAATTTTTTGTACCAATGTAAGTCTTCATGATCAATTTCATGTGTCCTTCCTTGCTGAATAAATGAATAAAAATATCAGGGGGGGGGGAAATAAAATAAATAAAAATAAGTATTAACCCCAAACTTCTGAAAGGTATAGTGTATACCTTGCACAACCTAAATAAGCACACAGACGCATTAGATACTTCACTATAAAATGTTATCAAACAGGTCCTAAAGTGTGAAAAGCATAGAAACAAACAAAATACCATTCTTAAATTTTCCCAATTTTATTACAACATTTTGTACGAGACATCTACTTCAGCTCCTTCACAGCCAGACCTGAAACAAGAGAAAGATGGGTCATATTTACAGTAATCCTTAAAGGGACAGAGTCCAGAACCGACACAGCTGTAAGTGTTAGTGAACCGGTGGAACTGAAGTCTCTGAGTGACGCGAAACCCAGCACTTGGTCCATCATTGCTCTAGCAAGCGTGTAAATGCACAGTGGGCACAGAACAGGCCCAAAGTGTTTGGACATCTTGCATACTTCTCAAAAATCTGATCACAACACTTCCATGACTTTCCAGACAGTTGTAAGCACTTTAAGGATCTCAAAGTTTTTCCCATCAATAAAATATTTAAGAGCTAAACAATAACACACAACCTTAAAATAAAAGCTTTACTTTTGCAGGCCTTTTGTTTGTAGGTTTACTCTTTTACATTCACATTACAAGATCCAAGATCATTTTTTCAAGTCAAAACATTTCTACAACCAAACATTTAGCACAAATCCTTAAGGTTGATCAAATTTCTGCACAAGCATTATGCTGTACAAACACAACAACCAGTTTATGGATTTGGTTCTGTCTTGATTGATATTGATCTTAGCACAATTACTTATATGGTATTATAATTCCAGCAGTTTGACGTGGTGTTTCTGAAGACTCACCTGGTGGCAGGGACTGCTTGAGCTTCTCAGCCTTCTCTTTGTCTGTGATGACCAATGTGTACAGATATCTGCTGCAGCGGACCTTGAACTTCACATTATCCTTGTTCTTCTTGATTTTGACAGCTGTTGGAACACAACACATGAATTTAAAGAGACGTCCATCAACATTAGTAAACACTTTTGTAGTAGCCAATGCAGAAGCCAAATATGGTTAGAACTCTGAATATTGGTGAAATTTACAATAGTCGATAACATTAACACCTTTAGCAAATGTCACAAAATCACATAATGTAGTTCTTATTCAACATTTTGTCCTGTCAGACCACCAGTACAAAATCGATTCAACCTTAAGCCAGTTCTTGTCAATCCTGGTCATGTAACACCACAATACTAAACATTTTGGATGTCTAAAACAGGTAACGTCAGCTCCTTTCTAGTCTCTGAACCGGAAATGTACATCCAATATGACAGACATCCAAAATGTTCAGTCCTCCAGGACTGAGATGCACTGCCTTCAGTAAAGTGAATACTTTAAAGATGCACCAAACAACATCAAAATAACCCATACAATAAGACCATACAAACCATGTCACAATAATAATAAACAATATACAGCTCTACAGCAGAAACACAAAAAGGAAAACCTCATGCAGCAGTCATAAATGAACCATGACTGGTTTAGTAGACATAAAACTTACACTTGGCATCCTTCCTCCTTGCTGTAAGCAGGAAATCTTTGATTTCTTCAATTTTGCGTGGCTGTGAAGATGAACACATATTAGACACGCAACGACATTTACACGTTAGTACTTAGTTCACTCGATATCTTAAAATAATATCCGTTTCTCTAGGATTACCAGACAAACTTTTAATGTGTTAAAATTTAGACCGATTCACTACTGTATTGTTACTCAGATAAATTCTCTAACATTTCTAGGTTGTCCATCAGCTTGACAACCTATTTCACCACCATTAGCCACCTTCTGTTATACAGTGATTTTACTTTTAATTCGATTTTAGTTTAACATTTTAGAACAAATGCCACTATAACTGATGCACTCTATATTTTACCATTTAATAAAAAACACGCAAATGCAAGATATAAACACAATCTCACCATTTTGTTTGAGGTGCGACTCGACCCTGCGATGCAGAGAAACACATTATTACAACACAATTCTACACAGCTTCCGATAAATATTTCGTTTAATGACACAGTTATACTTGTTCTTTCACATCACATATGTCTGAAATGTGAATATTGACGGATTGATGCAGATTTACATGGATTCATTTGATAGAGCTAAAGCGCTAACACTTACACGTCCCGCGAGCGAGGGGGGAAAAGGGGCGGGACTTCCGCGTGAAGGCGTAATATAAACCGGCTACGGTGGCTCAAAAGGGACTCTCTGGTTTAAAAAGTCAAAACTCACAGGGACATCTACTGGTTGCAGCATGAATATATCATGCCATTTATTAATATATTAATCGGG